GCTCTGCTCTTGTTGACATTTTCAACGAAATCACTGACCATGAACTTTCGATTCAAATAGAGTGTAAGGCGCCTCCGGTGCTTCTAATTTTTGACAACTCATAAATTACGCATATATTGGAAATAAGATCTGCATAATTTGATAGTACTCTTACAGCATCCAATTACAGGGTTGGTAAATTCAACTTTTGCGAAGTTTTTATATTAAAGTATTTCTTTAGTCAGATTTTGAAATACTTCGAAGTTTTTTTCAAATTATATAAAATGTCACATCTCGGAAAATAAAAGCAATTGAGCAATCGCATTTGGACGCAAGATTTGCAGCTCTTGAGAGTAATCTCACAGTACCCAACTGCAGCGTTGCAAACTCCAAATTTTGAGCAACTCAAAATTTATATTTCCTAAAAAATTTCGAAACCATAAAAAATGTCATTTCTCGAAAACTACAAAGATTTGAGAAGTAAAACCTAGCGATAAGATTCGCAACCCCTGAGAGTACTATAACAGCCCCCGAGTACAGGGTTAGTAGTTTCCAAAAAAATAATGTTAAATTTAACTTACAGAGCCTCACTAAAGAGATGAGAACGTCAAATTTTGTGCAACTTTTTAAAATCTGAGGTCTTTGAACAATTTTAGACGCAAGAGCAGTCGCATTTGAACGCAAAAATTGCAAATAAGAACTCGTCACAAAACCCAACTACAAGGATGGAAATTTCAAACCTTTTGATATTTTTAAAATATAAGTTTTCTGAAAAACTAAAAAAAAAATCATAAAACACGTCATATCTTGAAAACTACAAAGATCTGAGCAGTCAAATTTGGAGGCGAAAATTGCAACCCCTGGTTGTAACCTGACAAAGCTTCACTATGGAGATGAGAATTTCAAATTTCGTGATATTTTTTATATTTAACTTCTTCGAACATTTAAAAAAATGATCTAACAAACGTCACATCCTGGAAACTAAGAGACTTCGAGCAGTCGCATTTGGACGCAAAATTTGCAACTTAGAAATCCTGACAGTGCCGTCACAAAACTCAACTACAAGGATGGAAATTTCAAATCTTTAGGTTTTTTTAAAAATAAATTTTGTGAAAAATTAAAAAAGAAATCATAAAACACGTAAAAACTCGAAAACTATAAGGATTTGAGCAGTCATACTTTAAAGCAAGATTAGCAATCCTTGAGAACACTCTGACAGTGCCCCACTAGAGGGTTGGGAATTTCAAATTTTGTGTATTACTTTTCAATTTGAGAATTACTTTTCAAATCGGGACTCATCAAACTAAGTGTATACTTGGTTCATCTCTAGTGAATGGTGTATATCTATCTGATATGCTAACTGTATCATGTCCCATAGCCACGCTATGCTGTGACAATGTTGCTGATCTGATTGTTGCTCTCGGAGTGTCGAGACTCGTATTTATGGCGGGACGGACAATTTTTTGATAGAAACTCCGAATACATTATGAGTGAAGGCGCAGTTATGGAAGAAATAGGCTTTTGGTGGAAAAATTCCTTATAAAACGAATCTAAACCGAATCTATAAACGAATCTAACAAATCATTAATTGGTCGCAGAGGCAAAAGAAACACTATTCGGAGACTCAAAATATGTTACAGGTGTCTGGTAGAATATTATATTATATCATTTGTTAACACGGTCAAATTCAGATACAGAAAGATATTGCCAGAGGTGGACTCCTTCCTCGTCATGAAAACCTTCACACACAACTAGCGCCGGATTTCCGTACAGCCTTTTCAAGAGCTCAACAAACCTTCCTGAAGTTGTTTTCAACAGTTATTTGTGCTTTTTACAAATGCTGTCTTGAACGATTTTTTTCCCGATAATGGCCGCTGTAGGTCCATTCTGAAAGCCTGCTCTTTACCCTAATTGCCTAAGTCAATCTTCTGTTATTAGTCTGCTTCGCGTTTATTCTGTTATTTGCTGAAATTATTTTTGTGAGTGATGGCCGCTTAAGGTCTCTTGTCGCTAGTAAAAATTCGACCTTTTTTATCATGGTATGTATTTTAAAAATTGAATTTAACAAGGCTATTTGGTTGTTCATTATCTTGACTAGCTCCTTGTGGCTCCGAACTTCACAAGGTACTTGTTCTTTGTTAAATTGAAATGGCCGCTTTCAGATCTTTCAATAGACCTGTTTGCTCTGAATTGACCTGACCGCCTTAGGTTTCTCGAGCTATTGAATCCAACTATGCAACAACGGCCACTTCAGATTTTGACCTCAGATCACATTATTACTGGGCTGGGCAAGTTCTTGCTCTACTGCTTTGCAACAATATTCTCCTCGGGCTTTATGCATATTTCAACACATTTCTAGGTCAATTTACATCCTACGGAGATGCAACAATGGCCGCTTCAGGCCCTGTGCATCAGGCGTAAAAGAAATTTAAGCGACTTCTTTCCTCTACTGCATGGATAGAAAATATACTGGACAACATCAAAATTTGACAATAAACTCACCGTCCAATACCAGAAAATGGTCAAAACTCAACGATGATGATGATGATGAATGATGATGAGTATTACCATCCCGAATATTTGCTTTGCATTTTTGTCTACGTTCGTTTCCGGGTAGCCTATCCTCAAAATCTCAAATCCATGGCGCTTAACCGATCGCGACATACAAAAAACAGCATGGCGTTAAATTAAGAGCTTCAAATTAAAACCTAGGAAGCGGTAACTGAGTCGGCAATACATCGGCGAGCGCATCGAGCCAATATTTTACCTAACCAAAGGTGAGGAATTTGGGCCGATATAACTTCAGATGAAAAAAGGCCGATTGGATAACGCTAACTAATCGCAAGCGTCAAATAAACTCGGTCCGAAAGTGATCACACGGAAATACGCTATATCAGACATTCGCGGCAGATCGAGTGGAGAAAAAAAATTGGGGTTATCAATCAAATATTCTACGTTTCATTATTGCCAAATCCCGCCAAGAATGTTGCCAGAATACACTTGCGCTGGGTACATCTGCCAAATTTCTGATAGATCATCTCTACATGCCATTTGAGAAAAAAATGACTGACAAAAAAAACTTTCAAGTTTTCGCTTCTATAATTGGTGGAAAAATTGGTAGATAAGAAATGTTCCTAATAAATTCCTGATAATCAGATTTCACAAGTAACATTGGTTTTAAATTTGGACCTATTTATAATAACCACGCTTCAGCAATTGTACAACTACTTCAGCCAAAATTCGACAGATTTGTTTTGTATAACGACAACCTCAAACGAAGAAACTACCCACCGCAGATCTACAACTTTGGCATTTGTCAAACAAAACGTCTGAGATGCAAACATTTTACCTTCAAAATCCCATAAGAAAAACTTAATTTGAAGATTTCATCTCACATTGAATGATTTTGGTATAATGCGTTGACAGCCACCGCTAAAAAACGCACCCAGGACGTTAGCAGCTAGGTTTTGTATCACATTTGCGCGTAAAAAGGCAATCACTCAAGCAATCACTGTTATTCTTATTCACAGCATCCGCATTCTAAACTGTCAATATGGAAAAGAACAACCAATGGCAGAAGCATATGAAGACTAATGCATTCTAAAACGCTGCCCGATGCTTGAAAGTACCATCCACAACTGTACACAATGTAGAAGAATGCAACAAGATGACTAGCCTCAAATATCTCCCCACCAAAAATCACTCTGCCTTCACAGCTGTTGCATGTGACTACATTGGACGATTTTGTATCATTCTAAAATCAACACCAAGGCGAAGCTTTGCTTATCAAACACCTGCGAGAACACGACAAAACGAAGCACTATAAAATGCAATAGGAAAAATTAGAAATACGACTAGAATTAGTAAAAATTCGGCAACGCCTGAGATTCGAACCTGCGACCTAGAGAACAGGAGTCTCACACACTAAACACGCACGCTTAATATGCACCAAACACTAGCCACAAATAAAGCAGAGAACAGATGATATGGAATTTCCAATGTTACAGTAAAATTACCGAATAAATGAACACTTTTAATGAACAATTTTATTTGCGAGTTAGGTTCGAAAAAAAAGAAAGTTCGTAATAACACACTAAACAGATCGCAAGTGTAAACACTATCCCGCTTTTTACTTTTTCAAATTTTTAACTTTAACTATACCAGAAACTTATAACTAAACATTCTATGAAATTGTACGTTTACATATTACTTCGGCTTGGGGGGATACCAAAAAGGCATCAACCTTTCGGGTGGCATCTCAAGGGCAAGTACTATTCACTTACTTTCTTAAAGACTCGATCATATAGACAGTTCTCAAAATGAACCGCAAAAAACTTTCAAATATCAAAATTTTAAAGAAAAGAAACTGATAACCAACGCACAATAATTTTAGTGCTGTTTAACGTTTAACAAGCAAAATAAGATGACCAAAAAACTTACATCAAAGAGACGGAAATCAACCAAAACATAATTGATTACAGTTTATCTACAGCTTGCGCCGAATAACTTTTTATTTGGTCGACTGACACCAACATTAATTCATGGTGTCTTAAAGGAAAATATCACGTCTCTGTTAAAATCATGGAGCTTCGCTGAGACGAGAAAAACGGATTAGTGGATAACTGCATTATCAAAATTTAACGACGTTTTGGTTGTTCGAAAGTTGGAGAGCAAAATTTGCCGTCTTTCAGCAAATGAAATTGAATTGAGCTTGAAAAGAAATCGGAAGTCATATCAGGAAAGGTCTAATTTCAACAGTATCAAATTTAGGAATTTTTTTCTGGAGAAAAAAAAACACGGCCTAGATTTGTGTCGTCACTTTGTCCATTGCCACTTAAAACTTGTCGATTAGGGTGGAGCCAACACAGAGAAGCGAACGAATCATACCACAGCCAATAAGCTATCAGAAACTTGTAAATACAAGACTATGATTTTCCTGATTTTGGATAGTTGAATATATCCCATTTTTGTTCGAAAAACTATCAACTTCTTACAATTCTTCTTATGATGTTGAAACTCACGCGTTTGCTTTACTCTGCTCCTTGTTCATGACTACTGCCTCCGGATGCGCGACTATGAAGAAGGCCTTGCAAGCGTAGAGTTGATAGAAAATGAAGTTAGTGTCATGGTGCTCCTGTTGCTTCACTTCCACAATCAAATCCACAAACTCTGTCCACTGCTCGGCAGTAAATTTTATTTTCACGCGATTAGCATCTGTCAAATAAAGAATGATATCTATACATAAAAAACATTAGCACTCTAATTGAAAATTTAAGACATGGTGCAAGTGTGAGTCAGACACATTTTATATAATACTACTCAGGGGCGGATCTAGGATTTTCTCGAGCGGGGGCGGATTTTCAAAAAATTCAAATTTTGACGACCTTTTTTTTAGGTCGACCAAATTGATTTTTCTAGCTCTCCCAAAGCATTGTTTTGCCCCTATTTTGGCCGAATTTTCTGCGCCGCAGGAAAATTTTTGAAAAAAAAACAGTCAAAAAAGCCGTTTTTGGGCACTTTTTGAAAAATTTTGACAAAAAAATCTCGGTTTTTTTTGGCGCGCGCTCCCCCTCAAAGTTAGTATATATTGGCGCCAAAGGCGCCTTAAGAAAAATTTTAGGGTCGGTCGGCCAAAAATGGATTTCTAAAAAAGTATCAAAGGGGGGACCCTTTGGGTAGGCAGGGGTCGAATCGCTGAGGGGGGGGGGGGGGGGGGGGTTTAGGGGGGGCGTCTGCCCCTCCCCTAAATCCGCACCTGATACTACTTACACTATATACTTGAGATAACATAAAAAAAATGAATTTCATATGAACTTCAATGGGTTCCATGATTGTTTTTCCGTAGGTTGCTATAGACAGATCTTCACTTATTATAAATAAACAATTCCTAGCTTTAAAATCCACCTTTCTACAAAGAAAAATACTGCAGGTAATATTTGCATTTGCATTTTGAATTTGGTTCCATTTTGAAAATGATTTTGTGAAGATACAATTTTCGATAAAAATGACTGGTGATCCTTCTTGAATTTTTTGTTCGTTTGTTACCTTCAATTTCATTGTTCTCGTTCTGGATTCTTGTATATGCGGGACGCAGATTATGTTTGATTTTCCAGAGATGACAGAATAATTTCCATAAGAAAAATACTAGATCAACTCCTTTCTTCCAAGAAGTTTGAGGTATATTAGGAAAAATGCCCTGCTGAATCAAAATACTACAGTCAACAAAGAAACCTCTTAAAAAGTATACCTCTTATTATCAATGAACGCTTTTGTCATCAGTCATTTTATATGCCACGCAATACTTCTAAGCGATACCACAACGAATCTAGCAACTCACTAAAAAAAATCAGATATGGGCAAAGAAGACTGCTATAATAGGTTAAAATATGACTCTTTGTCTGATCTTTTACTGAAATACAATATAGTTATTACCTGCTGTGATAAATTTGGCAACTGTTTCCAGAAGTTTCTGTTTCTATAAAAATTAAGTAGGATACTAAGGCAAGTTCTAACTTACCAGTCAATGGTTGTTGAGAATACAGCGCATAGAGTAAGTAGAGCGCACCAACTCTGACTTGAAACTGAAATTTGGGTTGAAGAAAGCTTCTCGTTATAGAATAAGCAGTTTCCGTGAAAATAATCAACTCTTCGTCTTCCAGAAGATAAAAGATAAGAGAAAAACTCATTTCTTTGTAAATTCTAGAAAAATCTTCGAAACGGACTGAATCAGTATCAATAAAATTGGATAGTAGTGTTTCAACATCGCTTCGAAAGCCAGTCGCCTCTTGCATTTTAACCTAGAAATTAACTTAACTAATTTAAACGTTTTCTCGCAAATGTGCACCGAAAGGATGAATTTTTTTCCAAAATCATAAATACTGAGTAAACAAGAGTTTTAATGAGAGACCCGGAATGGCCGATAGCTTGAGCATAAATTACTCTTTCTCCGCATTGCATAGTTGTTTCGGGTTAACTGGCTGCATCAATGAAAACCATTTCAAAGAATAGTCATTACAACGATAGCCGGTTGCTGTGCAAGTAGAACAGAATGCTGCGAACATTCATAAAAAAAGCAACTACTTTCTTTCTCATCAATCTGAAAAACAAGATGTGAAACTTGTTTATTTCGGAGTACTTTCGGCTGACGCTGAAGCTGTGAGCAACTCGAGTTTCTTTGTCCCAGAGTCATCTGGCTGGAATCTCTTCTGCGTATTCTTGTATTTTGTTACTATGTGTTTGGATTTTGTGATTTGCCCTATGTCAAACTTCATGTTTTTGAGTGCTGATGATGGTTGTATAGCCGAAAGTACTCCGAAATAAACAAGTTTCATTATCTTGTTTTTCACATTGATGAGAAAGAAAGTAGTTGCTCGTTATCAATGTTGTTACCAAAAAAAGCACTTTTTGGTGCTTGTTGTGATGGAAAAACTAACACAACGAGTAGACATATAGTGAATGATGATGTATGGTCGACAGCAAAAAAAATGAAAAATGATTCTTTTTTGTTTCTTATTCATTTTCTTTTTTAACTGGTTTATTTCTTTTTTCTTATTATTAAATCATTTTATTTTTGAAAAAACTTTTTGATCACCAAAAAGAAGCTTCTAAAACTAGTTTTTCTGGAGTAAACGTGAGTTTTCACTACAAGGAAAAGTTTCGTTTCATGAGACTTAAATTAGCCCAAAGTTAGACTAACACATGGAACACTATTTGAATCACGACTGAAATAGTTTTATATGACTGCGCCAGTCGGCCATTCAAGGCATTTTTAAAAATAAGTTTTCCAACAAACACGTTTTGATATCAACTAGCGTGTAACGCACCACCGGAGCTACGAACGTGAAACAACTCATACAAATCCGCATATAATGGAAATAAGATCTGTATCCTCTGAATGTAGTCTGACAACACCCAATTAAAGGGTTCGTAATTACAAATTTTGCAAAGCTTTTTATTCAAGTTTTTTATTACAAATTTTGAGGAACAAAATACATTTTAAGTTTTATATAAGTTCTTAGAAAAATATAAAATGAACGAAGAAACGCCACATCTCAGAAACTAAAATCAATTGAGAAGTCGCATTCGGAGGTAAGATTTACAGCTCCTGAGAGTACTCTCGTGGTACCCAACTTTAGCGTTGGGAACTTCAAACTTTGGGAAACTTCAAACTTAAGTTTTCTAAAAAACTTATCTTTGAAAAACCATGAAAAACGTCAGATCTCAAAAACTACAAAAATTTGAGCAGGGTTATAAAACGGCAAGATTCGCAACCCCTGCAGGTACCCTGACAGAGCCTCACTGTAGAGATGTGAACTTCAAATTTTGCGAAACAATTTATATCTGGCTGGGTTCTCTGAAAATCTCCTAAGAAACGTCTTATCTTGAAAACAACAAAGATTTGAGTAGTCATATTCAGAGGCAAGGTTCTCAAGGGTAACCTCACAATTTCCAACAACAAAACTGTGATCTTCAAAGTTTTGGAAATTTTTAAAATCTAAGTTTTATTGAAAAATTTTTTTTTTAAATCAAAAAAAATATATCTCGAAAACTACAAATTTGAGCAGTATTATTGTGGCGACACATCTTCACTTTGTGGCGACCTTGTAGGGTTTGAGTACGCTCGCTCGAAGAGGATGAGTACCTCATTACTTTTCCTAGCCACAGAGTTTCTTAATTTTAACATCGAAGGCAACAGCATAAATGAATGATTATACTTGGTGAAGGACGTTAAGTTAATTTTACCGGATGCGTAGCCGTGCCACTGACAAAAAATGTTATCTAGGAAACTCCTCATAGTGCAAATTTTGTGAAAATGCTAGACAGCAGTGCAATGTAGTATGATGCCATATATGACAAGCGGTGAGTTGAAGTTCATTTTATATGCAATTTGTAAGTTGATCACAGAAAACTGGATCACCACTTGAAGATAACCCGGAGTTATGCTTTCAATGGGGACATAGAAAGCGACTGTCGGGGGAGTATGTGCCATTCCACCGGATTGACACAGACGAAACCTCCGACGAGCAAATTAAGAAGAACGGCCATCTTTGGCAGAAAACCGATAGAAACCAGAGACAGTGTAACATTCGCCCGGAAGATACATATCGACGGATAACAAAACTAAGTCTTAAGACGACTGGCTAGCGTCTAAACAGAGCTTTGCATGTTTTTCACCGTCTCTACCAAGCCAGTACTTTTCGGTGGTCTTTCTTACATCGGGTCGACAAAAACGTTACTGTTCTCCGGCTTCGACCAGAACGCTCAAATTAACTGAATTACATGCAAAGATAGTGAGCTCATGGCTGGGTCTCAGTATCCCCAGACCACGAGGTCACTCCTAAAAACAGGGCTACTACTTATTATATTACTATTGTTTTTGTTCAGTAGATAAAAATCATCATCTCCATCGAAGATGGATCAACCCTTTCCCCCCAACTCTTAGCACCTCATCCTTGTCAAAACTAATCCAAATATCAATTAAATTCAAATCAGGACATTACAGGATGCTAAAATTTCATATGAGTCAATAAAAGTTTTCCGTCCCGAGACCCTTCCGGATTCTTGAATCCGGTGAATCAAGCTCCTTAAGTTCGATTTCACGACAACACGGAAGGCTGGTTTCTTACCCTTCACCATTGTTCGCAACGGCCTTGCAACTACTGTAGCAGCACAATAGTTGCAACTCGGAACGTTCTCTGCACTCTGCTGCTGTTTTTCTTCAATTTCGACTTCTTCAATTTCAATAAAGTTGTTCTCGTCAGCGCAACTAACGTTGTTGTTCTGTTTTTCTTAGTTCTTTTTGCTAAAATGGCCGTTTCTGACGTTTCTCAGAAATGTTACGTCATCACTTCGAAAATTTAAAATTTTAAAATACTAGAATATTCCAGCCTTCACCGTTTGGCTAAACGTTCCAATAACGCCCTTAGTTCTTAAGAACCACCAATCCGGAAGGCTTACTGCTAAAATTCCGAATTCTGCAGAGATTGCATTTTCCACATTCTGGTCGAATGTCACATACTCCCCGGACAGTCCGGTTAATGTCCTCATTGAATCGCGCAATGTTCTAAATGGTTACAGTGTCATCGAACAGAATTTACAAAATGCACGAAATTACTTTTATCTACGTCACATCGACTCACTGCAGAATATAAATGGCATCATACTACATCACTAAAGCCTTCAAATTCTTTCATTAATCTGCACATTGAGGATATGACTTAAGATAAAACATATTTTCTGACTTCCAGTGTCAATGTCCCGATTGAAACTTTTTCTCCTAGATTTAAAAGGTGTTGGCTTGCAGGACAGTCCTGCCAACCAACAAGCTAAAATTATCCTACTATGCTCCTTCCCTTCGGAAATCTTGCTTGTTTATTGCCCTGAATATTAAAACTAAGAAACTTTGTGGTTAGAAAGAACAATGTAACAACCTCCCTCCTCAAGAAGTTACTCAAGTTTTTCATGTCACCACAAAGTGATCAGTCTTCCTAAGTGATTAAAAACAATCATGCAGGCTGGAATATTTAAATATACTCTTCCCTCAAGCCTTTCTAAATAAATAATAAGGAGTGTCTCTAAAGCCACTTCAACTAAAATCAAAATGCAAACTTATAAATGCAACAATTTCAGAACTCAACTAAATGTTTCAGTTTTCAATTACAACTTGGTTGCTTGGTTTCTCACTTGAGTTTTTCACACACATAAAACAATTCTGAGTTCTGACTTTTCTTCATCATCCCTTTGTTCTCTTCTTTTTCGTCGTTTAGAAGTTCTAAAACTTCTAAATTCTTCTAATTTTCTTTCTTGCTGCCTCTTGTTTTCTCGACCATTCGTCAATGCTCCATTTCCTCCTCCTGTGACACTGACTCCGCACTTTCGGTTTCCGTGTCTTGTAGCACGTCATTGACTATCCTGACGCTGTTGGAAGCCGTCCTCCAACACTTCTGCTCTTCCACCCTCTGCTTACAGCAAGGTAGGGGATCCACGTTTGATTCTCTGTTTCTACAGAAGCTGTTGTGGAGACACAACGTCACGTTTCTCTCCAAATCTTCTGTCAGCATCTCTGCCTTCTCATTTCCACTACGCTCGCTCGTCCTGGAAATTCTTTTCACAGCGGTGGTCAGTGCATTCCGATGGGTCACGAAAGCTCGCTTGAAAGCTCCTGCCCCAATGTCCAGCTGATATTCACTGTATACTCTGCCATGCTTCGACATATGCTTTTTCGCATACTCGTACAACCATGCAGTCATGTTAGCTCTGAACCATGGCATCAATCGTTTTCTTGCCCATATCTTCTTCACTTCCATCGGAATGCTTAGAACTTTGCACATTGTCTCAAAAAGATCTAAATCTTTTAGACAATCTAATTTCCGCAATTGTTCTCTCGTCGGTGCCTCCTGTCTATTATTTTCTCTCACATGAGCTTCCAGCCATCGTATTGCCATCATAACTCCCACTATCACTATTGTTACGGGCTGTGATGAATCTGGTAAACCCATGGAGAGCAGCTCTCCAGAGTCCCAGATCAACATCAGATTACTACGCTTGGGATACCACCAGGTCTGCAGCAAGCAGTGGCAAGGAAACTCATCATGCGTCAACATGATGCTCCTCCAATTACGTTTTCCCGAAGCTTCCAGCAATGGTTCCACTTCCATCATCACTCGGTGGATTTCATCATTCTCATCTACTGCATTGTAATCTGTGACAGTTGATCCTCCCTGTTTCTGTTTTTCAAAGTCACTGAAGTTCCCGCTCACATATCCCATGAACTTCTTTCCTAGTATTGACTCCAACTCTTCTTTGGTTCTCTCTGGAATTGCTGAGAACA